TTGATATGCATATGTTCCTTTCTGCCGCTCTGGCAGTTCCGGGACCACGTCGGCAGGAGATTTGGACATATTCGGCAGTGCGATGCGTCGCGATCGCGCTTCGATGCAGGCCCACGACGACCAATCCTGACGGACTCCAATGCACATGTTCACTTGGGGGGTGAGCGCAGACGATCGACGACGTCGCGCAGATGCAACTCGGAGAACGGACACGCCCATATGAAATATATTGTCTGTGTGGAGCAGTCGACGACATACCACTCCATCCCCCTACGGGATATCCGGTCAACACCCTCGCGGCAGATCACCATTCCAAAGGTAAGCCGACAGCTTTGGCTGCCCGCTCGAGCCTGCTACTTCGTCGTCCGGCCATTGCCGCCATGGATATGCCTTCATGGACGTCCGACGTCCTTGAACTCGTACCGCGACAGCCTACACAAGGGCAAGGGATGAGAGAGACGCAGAGAAGACTCACCATACTGAGATTTACCCTTCACCAGTCGTTGCAAGATCGAGCCTTAGAGGACCCTGTGTAGCTTGCCATTGGGTGACTCGTTGATGCGGCATCCAGACGGGGAGTATAGCTAGTAGCGACGAGCGGGACGAGGAGACGGGAGGTACGGTGCGTTGCGACAGAGCAGAAGGGTCGCATGCGGATATCAGCTTGACAACACTTCGCGGGGATCGTCCATTCCAAGTCAAGTAAGAAGAGACGATGCAAGGACGGATTGCTGGTGCAGATGTGTAGCGACCCTAGAGGGGTGACGGTGCAGCGCACAAGGGCCCTATCAAGTCTTGAAGCAGGATGACCAGAAGCGTGACGGTTTCAAGCGCGAGCAAGAGTGCAAGAATGACAGGGAGTCATCCGAGTACAGCTGGTTGCGAAATTTATGCCGGCCGACTCCGAACGACGCTCGCGCACTTTCTGCATCGTAAAATGAAACAAATTCCATAAATCGCCCTGCACTATCAAACACCTAGACCACAAGGTATTCGACCCTTCTGGGTCCATAAGAGCCTGAAACATTATGAACAAGGGTGATCCACGACGTTCGTAGAAGGCTCTTTGCAAGGACCTCACAAGCGCTACTTTGAGCAAGTAGGCTGGAGCGAACAGACAGGCTCTCAAGAACGGAAGAGACAGAATTTGGACAGCAATTCACCTAAAAGACGGTGTTGATGGTCCGTATAGGCTACTACAGACAGCTGCGTGGCAAGGGTGCTTCGAGAAAGCTGGAACTAGATGCTACTCAAACACTGCCTCTGTCGGCATTGCATAGTGTTGATGATGTGTCTGCTGACGAAGTTCGCACTGGAAAGGTATCAAGAGCACCTATAAATACTTTTTTTATAGATATCAGAGCGGCGAAACGACATTGAAGCCCATGAGAGTTACGAAGATATGCCGATGTCTGAACCTCTTCCGGCGCTTGATGCGCTGGCAAGAGCCAGGAGGCAGACTGCCTACTGCTCTGGCTGAGAATGTGTAACATCTTCCTATAAACCCACAAAACCTACTCTCAATGAGCCATATACTTTCATAAGTGACGTTGCAAGGCGGTGCGCAGATGCGGCGGCCTGAGCGAGAAACCTCATCGCCCATAGGGAGCTTCTAGTGATTTCCCTCGAAGGGCACAAGTCGGGAACCAGGAGTCCTACGCTCTCCACTCAAGTTCGTGAGGTCTCGTACTCGCTGCTATAGGGGTTATGGAAAGTTTATAGAACACAGGGGAGCAGAATCGCGAGTGCATGAATTGTTTGATTTTTTCGATTTTTTCGATTTTTCCGTGGTCGAAACTGCGTCGGAGTTGGTCGGGCATAAATTTCGCAACCAGCTGTAGCAGGATTGGATGGTCTGGGGCCAGGACGATCGTCCGCGTCATCTCTAGCTTGACGTGCCGATCTGCGTTAATCAGGAGTGTACTAGAAGTAGACGAGAGGAATCGGTCAATCCCGAGATCGCCGCCACGCCTGCTCACTTCTTTGGAGTTCGTGCACACGCAACCTGTGGTGAGCTCATCCATTTCGCAACCTTGACGAGTCTCGGTCTGCTCGAAGTCAAGAACGATTCGCTACCCGTAGCTAAGATAACAGCGAACGACATCTGCGCATCATACTGCCGCCCCTGGGACTTCCACCATGTCGGCAACGACTGCCGATCCCACTCTTCCCCAGCCTCCAGCCTTCCTCTTGGACCTCTTCCGCCTGTCCGTTTCTCCTGAATCACACCCGTCAATATACTACGGCGATAGTGACGCATCATCGAACCAGCCTTCCCCTGCGTCAGCAACCCCGCTCCACCCGTTCGTCACGCTCACCTTCGCGCAGTCGCTCGATGCGAAGATCGCGGGCGCGGGCGGACGGCAGCTCATCCTCAGCGGCAAGGAGAGTATGGTCATGACGCATTGGTGAGTCCAGTACTCGCCGCGACGGCTGCAGTGACAGCCCCTCCCCCCTACCTCCCGCGTGCAGAGCGGCGCGGTGTGGCTTTGCGATAAGCGATGGAGAGCAGGACGCACTAAATGCTGAGCTGATGCGTGGCTGTCAAGGATGCGCACCCTCCACGACGCCATCCTGGTCGGCATCGGCACGGCTGCCAACGATGATCCACAGCTGAACAGTGAGTGCTCGCCCTCTGTCTCGCGTGCCACACTTCCATGCCTCGGTCCTCCACATGCGCTCCATACCCTTCATTGCAGGGGGGGGGGGCGATTGTGATCTCTGCCACACAACCCCCGCCTGTAGCATCTCGTGCGTCCGTGTACTGCGCACCACTTACACATGGTCTCGTCCTGCTCGTAAAATGTCAGCCCCAACACTAAAAGCGCACCGCACTTAGCGCGCCACCTTCCACCGCTCCCAACCGGGTACGCGCACAGCTACCGCCTGCCCCGACCGGTCATCCTGGACACGAACCTCCGCCTGTCGCCCGACTGCAAGCTCCTGAAGAACTACCGGGCCGGCCGCGGCCGTCGCCCATGGGTCGTCTGCGCGCCCCAAACCCCGGCCCGTGACGACAGCGCGAGCACGGAGGCCTTCGCGCGGCGGGCCGCGACGCTGCAAGCAGCGGGCGCGCGGGTCGTCGAGGTTGCCGCGGACGACACGACCGGTGAGTCTCGTTCCGACCCCAGATAGGCTTAGGCCGTGGCGTTTCGCTGAGGGACGGATCACGATGACGGCGGTCGTGGGCGGCTTTGTGTGGTGGCTGGGTTTCATCTGTGCGATCGGATGGTACGATGCGGTTTGGTGGCGGGGACGACAGGTTTGATAGGCGTCGAGGATCTGCTGATTGTGTTGCGCGAGCTTGGGGTGCGCTCGCTCATGGTCGAGGGGGGTGCGCGGGTCATACGCTCGTTCCTCGAGGCTGCGCCCTTGAAGCCGGTGCCGGCGCAGGAAAACCTGGGACGAGAGAGCTCCGGGCGCACCGGGGCCGAGAAGAAGATCGTCGACGCTCTGGTCATGACGGTCGCACCGACTATTGTGGGAGAGGCAGGGGTGAGTTATAGCTCTGGGCTGCTTGAGGATAAGGTGAGCCTAGCTCGATTGTCGCCATCTGACGCTAATGATGCGCTTGCTTGACGTTGCGGGCTTGATCGGTGAAGGTCCCGATGTTTGAGCACGTCCGGACCGGAGTATTCGGATCAGACGCCGTGCTGGCCTTGGTCTCTCGTTGAGCCCGGAGATTTGACACTCCGGACGCTTTATGTCGACTGTCGAATAGACTGGATGCTCCGGCACAGTGGAGGACGCGGCTTCCGCAATGATTACGCGTGGAAGAACGCCTGCAGGGATCGTGATGTTCTTGTGCATTCGAGTTGCACAGCGTTTGTGGCGCCGAGCGCAGGGTTGCTTGTTAATGACCGGTATCAAAGGTGTCGCAATTACATGTCGTGCCTTGTATCAGTGACGGTCTTGGCTACTGAATATCGTGATCTTGACAGCAGGAATGAAACACGTGTAGGACGCGGAACGAGCCTGTAAGTACAAGCCCGCCGTCGAGAAACCAGTCTCGGTCGCGTTGGGTCACGGTGTGACAACCGCGTCTGACGTCGCGGTGGTCACGCCGTCCAATCGGAACGCAGGCGCGACACGCGGTACCTTGAACTTGCGATAAGCGAATCTAATACGATCGTGCACTGAATGTCAGTGGAGTGGGATAGAAACACATTCAGCGAAGCGTTTATTCGTAAGCGGCGTTGCCTGAATTTCGCGCGCACTGCTCGATGTGGGCAGACCGCAGCAGCTTCCAGGCGTTCAGTGCGAGGTGTGTGTGTGAAGAGGCGGGGTCACGAGCGAGTTGAGACGATTGCGGCCTGGTGTGGTGTGTACTTTCGGACAAGGAGATGCAGGCGTTAGCGCAACTTTGGCTCCGCCGGCCAACAACGTGGAAAGGCGGTAGCTATTCGGGATGAATGCTCCCGGCCCAAGAAGGAGGTGTGCATGCTAACGAGATAAGTGAAACAAGCGGTCACAAATGTACGGAGGGCTGTCTAGCGCACCAAGGCGCGCGATGTAATCTCGTACGTCACCTTGCTCTTCACCATTGTGAGGAAGACAACAAGTCGACAGCGACTAGTGCGGGGAAGGTTGGAGTCAGCAGGCCGAAGTGACTGCCCAGAACGTGGCCACGAGAGGGCGTGTCGCCTTCGTTTCAGTCCAGACCCGTGCACTCGTCGTTGTCCAAGAGAGTACGAGCGTTTGCTGTACAAGCCGATGGGTCGAGAAGTTCACAGAACAAATTTCAGACGAGGCTAGAGTAAGAGAGATGGCAAATGCGTGGCCATGTGTCTTGGCTTCGCCACATTGGGCGGAACGGTCTCGAAGTCATCGACGCGGGCGGGGAGTGGCCAATGGGAGGGGCCGGCGAGAGTATCGGAGATTGGAATGGCGCACAGGGGAGAGCGTTGACGTCAGATGCAAGGGGCAGTCGTCATGCTAAAATAGTGCACTTCAATATGCAACGTCCTCCCGCCGAACCTGCCGCCTGTTTCGATGGCCCCCTCGTCCCTCTCATAGCCCACGACGCCCTCCTCGTCCCCCGGCACCCCTTCCCAGCCTCGTCGTCGTCGTTCAGGTGTAGGCACCACGCGCATTCCATTGTCTTCTCAACATCCCCGCCCCCGTCAACTCCCCGGCCCGCACAGATCTCACGCACTCCTCCTCAGTGCCCGCAGATCCCCCGCGACACGACTCCCTCTCAGCGTACACGGATATGACCGCTGTCCTATCCCCTCAGCGCAACTCATCGTCTTTTGTCCAGCCTCCAGACTTGACACACGGTGCAGCCTCCGAAGCTCTCGCTTTGCACGCCGACCCCTATCGCCATGTCCACAATGGCACAACCGCCCTCTTAGAGTCCAACTCAAGCGCATTGTCGGCGCGCGATCCGGTCCAAATATGTCCGTCCCACTTCTTGTGATCTCAACTTCAATCTGACGGGCCAAACTACAGCCGAACAAGTCAACCCAGAAGTTAACTCATTGTATGCGCCATCCCAGCATACCTCCGTTCAGGCATCAACACATTTATCGCATGCCGACCCTGCCTTCACGAATGCGAGCGAGCATGGAGACAGTGGGAATGACCAGACCCTACATTCCTTGGAGACACCCTCACCGCCCCCGCTGCCTGTCAAATTTCCTATTTACGACCGGCCACAGTCTGTGTCGATCCTGGCCCCTGCCGACATCTCACCGGTATCGCGTGGGTTTTCCTACTCTGCCTCCGACCTCGGCCACGCGTTTCGCACTTCGAGAAGTCTTAACCTGACTTCCCCGGGAAGCGTGCCGGCTCCGCCGACCATATTAACTTCCCAACAGCATCCTGTCCACATAACCGCTGGTGGCAGCGACCTCTCTTTCCCCTTAGATGCCTTCCACGCCAACCCTTCTACAATGGAACCGGTCACTGGCGACACCTCTTCAAAGGCGTACCGTCGCAACAAACTACTCAAGTCCCGCCCTCAGCCGCCCTCCTCCCTCGCCACACGTCCCTCTGCCCTCAGTCTCCTGCTGAACAGGGCCTTTGGCTCTGGCGAGTCGCTTTCTCGCCACAGTAGGTCCAACAGTGCCCCGAGCATGGACGACAGGACTTACCGGCCAACTCGGAGCCTCAGCGATGGCAGCGCGAAGTCCCCCCTCGCGCGCCCACATCCTAGCTCCCGGGGGAGCGATACAACTGACAGCAGCTGCACTACATTGAGCTGGGCGAGTACCTCTGTGTCTGATGCCTCCACCGCCATCACTACCCCCGAGTCGGTGGCGTCGCCTGGGCTGTCCCCGCGCAATAGTACGCGCACGAACAAGCTTCACAAGAAGAGGCCGCCACTGGCGCCCTCCGCATACCAGTATCCGCCAGGCAGGCACTCTGCGGCGCTAGGCAGGTCGAAGTCGACTCCCAATGGTTTGGGTCAGCGCAGTCCGAAGAACAGGATTTGGACAAGTGTGGAAGAAGCACGTCATGCAGCGGAAAGTGTCGACGAATCAGGTGGCCAAGAACCATCGTATTGGCACGCTTCCGTAAGGCTACCTTCTCTCCTCGCGGTATGACCCGAAACTGACATCCGTATGCAATGCGGCGTTTACTCGCTTCCCTTCGTGCACCTGCCTGCCTGCCTACGATACGCTACGCCACGCGCCGCTCAGCCGACCGAGTCGTCTCCATCAGGACGCTCCACTCTAGGGCCCATCTTCGAGGTCCGGAAAAGAAGGTCGTCGCAGGCTATCTCGGACCTTGCATGTACAGGCATTTGCTCCTCTGCCGCCGCGGCGTTTTCCTCTCAACTTGCTCTTCATCCACAAGAGAACGAGGGTCTACATGCGTTGGATAACCAAACATGGAACGCTACACACACCGACCACTTCGACCCATATGTTGACTGCGCTTTTCCCGCCGACGCTGCCGAACCTTCTATTGGTCACAATCGCGGCAATGCCACCGATCTCGCTTCCTCTCTAAACCCTCCGCCTTCGACTGCACTAGGTGACGCTCAGGATAGACCGGAGACCTCGTCGTCTGGTTTCGCCGTTGTCGGTGGTTATCTTGACCGGAGCGAGGATGCGATGCGCCGTTGGACGTTAGCCATGGCCGATGTCCCCGATGAAGTCCTCCTCCAACATTTGGAACGTCTCCGGAAGGAGAGCATGGCGCTGGCCCGTGGCATGCTCCCTGGTCGTGGCAGCGCAGCACCTAGCCAGGTTGGCCACGGGGACGATGATACGACCTACGACCCCCGGGATCGTCGATCCTCATACTTCTTTGGTGGTCCGCGCGAGATGGGCATTTCTCCTAGGTCACCCTCGCGCGCTCGTTTCAGCGTCGGCCACGACGACCGTGACTTTGACGGGGAGTATTCGGACGAAGAGACGTTTTCCGACGAGGAAGACGAGGAGGATTGGAACACTGCCCGGCAAGTCCTCTTCCGCTGTCGGGAGCTCGTGCAAACCGAACGCAACTATCAAAACCGTCTTCGGGAGCTCGCCTCTACCGAGCTGTCACATCACTACGCCTCGTTGGTAGCGAAGCACGTCCCTGCCCTTCTCAGCGTCTCGCAGACGTTGCTTAACCATGTTATGGACGATCCGAGTGCTTGGGGTGTCAGCGCCGCGTTCATCGGGTGCGAAGAGGACCTCGAGTGCGCCCTCGTTGCTTGGGCGGGTGTTGTGGGTGAATTCTTCATCGAGGATGCCAACCTGCGGCCTCCCAAGAAGCTCACTAAGAAGCTTGGCGATGACGCGCTGTCGAACCACCCCCACGACTCTCCGTCATCCGCCATCGGGCGCGTTTTGCGCACCCGCAGTCAGGCCGCCATCAGCTCCACTATTCCCGGCTCGATGGCAGCGAGACGCTTTTCGTCGACGATGTCCGACATCGGGCACGGCGAGACCCTCTCAAGCGTGGGCCATGAGAGCACTGGAATGTTTACCGCAGCTCTTGGTACTGGCCTCGCCTTCGGCCTGGGTGGACCACCTATGTCTTCCCCGCCGACACTCGAGCCGGACGTGGGTTCGTCGGCTAGGTCTTCCAAGGCGCGGAGCTTGCACGGACACGGCGGTCTGACACGAGTGTCTACCATCTCGAGCAACCTCGGGCTCTCTCGCGCTGTGAACGCATGGAAGCGGAAGAGCATGCCGTCGTCCCTCAGCGTCCTCCCGAGTTTGTCGATCGCCTCTTCCCCGGCCGCCTCTCACACGAGGTCTCCGGCGTCCGCGCATGGCACCGGATACACGCACAGTCCTCGCAGCACGAGCAGTGCGCAGGGACACGGGATGCCCCAGAAGAAGTCCGAACAGGAGAGGAAAATGACGGTGCGGGATCTCGCGATCCAGCCGGTGCAGAGGGTGATGAGATACGTCTTGCAATATCGAGGTGAGCCTCCGTCGCTTCCTTCTCCAGCTTCATGTGGCGGTCCTGACGTGTTCGTCGTCCTGCAGACCTGTTAGAACACACTCCGACATCGAGTCCGTCGCGCGCGCTGGTGGAGCGGGCGTACGACAGCGCGCTTAGGATCGCCAAGAAGTGCGATCGTGCGCAGGCTCACGCCGCGTTCCTCCATCAGTCGCCCCCTACCAGCACGCCCACCAAAAATGAGAAGCCTATATCACGACAGAAGAGCATCACGAAGTAACGACCACGCTACGACCTCTCATGACCCCGCATTTTACTTCACGTTCGCAGACGCAATAATCATACATTTCATTATGCATTCCACCACGTCCTCCATCCACCAGCATCGAATCTTCCTATCTATCCAGCATCAACACCCATTCAACATCGCTCATTATCGTCCCCGGCTCTTTGTATTCCGCATCGTCCTTTCTATCGCCTTGTACTTCATCTCATGTTATGTAGCTTACCGCCATGTGAGCATTTCCCCGCCTCTTTGGCGGGGGCACTCCTTTTTGTCTTGTTTTCTGCCGGCTCAAACCTCTCTTCCTCACCATCGCATATTAATATTGGTTTCATCTCTTTGCCCCTCTCCCCCCTTCCCCCTTCCGTCTCCCCTCACATCTTCGCCCCTTCCCGCCCTAGTGACCGTCCGTGATACTTAATCATCTATCCACCTTGCAGCTTTCTCCCGTCTACATCCGCTCTCCTGAGTTTGTACACGATCTTCACCTATTTATCGCGTTCAAGTTGTACGCTAGTAGTAGAATGTCGTGTACGAGTTTGTCTTGCTTTTATCAGCTGTCCTTCTAGCAATGTGATCCCTGTCCTCGACGGTTCTGTGTGTATGCGCGCGTCCGTTTGGTTGACTGGTTGTGCTCGACAGACGAGAGAAAGCTGATTAGACAGCCAGCAGTGACATACCATTTCATGGCAAGGTACACAGTACAAGTACATTACGAACGTATCTATAGCAAGTCCAGGATCCCATAGAGGTATACAACAGGAGGGAAGTGTGAGATATAAGTGGATGATAAAAGTACACGATTCTTTATGATTATGGCAGACAATATGAAGCAAACACAACGCAAAGGCTAACAGCTCGAACTCACTGAAGGTTAAAAACGGCGGGAAGGCTCCTCCACAGCTCCCTCCGCTTCTTTTCCGCCATGACGATGATATCCGCCGTGCAAGCCGCGCACGGAAGCTCGCTGAACAGGGTGTCAAGGCGCATGCAGTCGTGCAGGATGTCCAGGGGGTCGTCCATCGAGTTGGGCGCGTTCTCCTGAAAGTACTTCCAGCAGTCGCCCCTCGCCTTCGTGCACCCCTTCACCCCACGCTGGCACCGCAGCCCGAAAATGTCCGTCCCGATCGCCCTCGTGTGCGCCGCGAGCAGCTTCTGCCCGTGCACGAGGCGCATGAGGTCACGCTTGTCGAGCAGCCGCCACCGCGCGGTCCGCGCGCCGAAGCGGAGGTGCTTGCCGGGGTTCGCGCGGCACTCGTCCCAGTCGGCGTCGGTGCTGAGCAGCGCGAGCGTGTAGAACGCGGCGGGGAGGATGCTCGGGATGCCGTAGTCGCTTGCGATGCGGATCGCGCTCGCGGGCTCGGGGAGGCGGTCGTCGAGGTAGAGCCCGTCGACCTTGCCCGTCAGCTGGAGGGAGTGCTCGGAGCGGAGGATGACGGCCTCTGCGCGGCGCGCGTCCCACTGGGCGAGGGTTTGCGGCCAGTCGGCCTCGAGGGAGGCGGTGAGCCGGCGGCGGAGGGCGTCGCATTCGTACTTCATGGCGAGCTTGAGGGCGCCGTCGATGAGCACAGGGGTGTTGGGGTCGAACCGCTTGTATGCGGTTCCGCTGGGCGGGGAGGGGCGCACGACGGCGTCGGGTGAGCGGCGGGGAGAGGGGCATGAGGAATGTGGGATTGGGGATGAGACTCACAGTGGGTCATAGAACATCGTGAGGAAACTGATCAGCTCCTCTGCGGTATCAGGCATCTGCACATGGACGACGCCGTCGTAGGATTCCGCAAAGTGTGTCCTGGAACCTGTGGCGAGGAGTGGGGGGATGGAGAACATATCGGCGAGGACGGGGGAATGTCGGGAGAGGATGGACTTGTGAACACGGAAGTACTGGAGCTCGCCATCGTGGGTGCGACCCGAGAGGACGACGTTGCCGTCGTCGTAGTAGAGGGTAGGATGTCGCTCGCTATGGACCTTCATCGCAGAGGAGGAGGGACTGCTGTCTGTATCGGAGCCGCTGTCAGCGTCTTGCGGGTGCATTTCATCAGTCATGGTCGGAGTATGTCACGACTCCACCAAGAGGAGAGGGCCAGGGTATGCGAGGATCGTTCTCGAGGGGGTTACGATTTGGGTCTGCTATGATTCATAGAGACAGGAGGCTGGGGCCTTGACCCAGTACACCTCGGCACTAATATGTCTCGACATCAAGTCATGAGACATGTTCAGATTCACCGCACAGCGGATCCCCTATGCAGGCCTTTGATGACGCCGTGGCAGCGTGGTGGAGATCTGAGTGGAGATGTTATCGCGGCCATTCTAGTGGACAGTGACGGATCTTTGCAACGCAGCCATACGTTTTGAACACACATGATGGAGGAATAGCGTTGCCATATAGCCATCGCAAGACACTGATACGACTATGGTGGGAATGGATATCCGTTCACGCAGACAAGCAGACGGTCTGGATACGCAACTAGGATACCCGTGGCTTCGACGTAATTCATCCAATTCAATGATCTCGCACAGATGTGGCTGAACACCTGATGTTAGGTGATACAACTCGCGATTGAACTGATCACTGTATCTGTCCTAACCGGCAACCTTCTACACCATTGAAAGTTAGGACGTACTCCCCCTTGACAATTCCATCCTTCTGGAGCTCGCTTTCATTTGCTTCTACGATTCGTCCATGCTCGAGCAGCCAACGCCGCACGACGCCAGGGAGGCATCCCGTGGAGCTAGCCGGCGTCACCCACCGGAGAGGCGAGCGGCGTGCAAATGCAACGTTGCGGATCGAGGTCTCCGTGATGTCGTCGTTTTCGTTGAACAACAAGACTTCGTCCGACGAAGGAGAGGGGGGAGGGGGTATGCCAAAGCGACTGCGAGCGGCGTTATAGTGGTCGCGGTGTGTCGTCTTGGTGCGTGTGAACACACTGGAGGGTGTGGCAATGGTGTCCAGGTGGATCGCTAAGAGGGCTAGGCCGAAGTCTGGCGGATCGGGGGACGGTGCGGTTGGCAACCAGAGCGAAGGTGCCAAGGGGTCAGGGATGGGGATAGGCAGGGTACGAGATGCGGTCACAGAGAGGAAGCCTCCTGCTGAGAGGAGGATACGAATCTGCGCACAGTCAGGATTCAAAACACTTCAAGGTGAGGCTATAGCTACCCTGTAGTGTTCGTCGGACGCAAGATCGTTGGCCACGAGATCGCGGGAACCGACCCTTGCGTTCGTCAACGCTGCGCCGCAGAGATCCTCGAGCTTTGACACAGAGAAATCTTGCGGAACGGACCAGTTGTGGTGCTCGGCGGCATCGCGCAGTCTATCATGATGATAGGCAAGCAACAGATACGGAGAGGTTGCACCAGAGTTGGCAGCGGTGTTCCACTCGACATGCAGCAGTTGCGGATCGCGCCTGGTCGTCGAAACGAGATCGAAGTTGGTCGCTGACATGGAGTTGGGGAGCTAGCGCTGGTGACAAATACATAGTTATACGATGTCGGTGTCTGATGCCCTAGGGCCCTGTGTTAGTCGACCAGAGATCCATACGGTTAGCATTCTGATAGAGTGATGCTGAGAGCGTCGTATTGCAAGATGTGGAAGGGTCGGAACCTAGAGTCGACACAAACGCGGTCCTGCACGTAGATCTCAAGTACGCGTGGGCATTTGGTAGCGTGAACAGCGCGAGTGTGACAATTGCGATTGACACATGCACTATTAGCGGTCATTTGTGTATGATACGAGTGCTGTGCGTGATTGCAGCTCGTTGAGGAGGCAAGATAGAGGAGAGGCCCAGTACTGGCAGTCTGACTCGGAGGAGCCCGCACTGATCGCGGGCAATGACGCATGTGACCGAGACGCGTCACGACCCGAATACAGCGGGCGTCTGCAGCAGTATATAGCGCATGCGTACGCGGGGGCCCGCGTCTCTATTCTCCGCTCCTTCCCCTCAGCAGTCCCAGCCATGGCAGCCTTCACTGTCAAGGCTACATATCGCAGCGAGACTCGCAAGTTCTCTTTACCTGACTCTACCTTTCCTACCTACGACCAGTTGTACAGCCAGGTGAGCACCACTCAACTCCTTCCGTCTCCGCATGATGACTTACCGCAGCATCGTAGCTGTATCGGGTTTTCCCCATATCCCATTCCTTCTATCTATCAAAGCTTCTGTTTACTCCCAGTCCCACTTCCAATGCTCGTATTCTAATTGGCAAGGAGGTCCACTCTCCCGAAGAGTATGACCGCCATGTTGCCCCTTATCGGGGAGGCTCCTGGCATGGCGCCCTCCTCCGCTTTTCTGTCTTCGACGAGACTCCACACAAGTCTTCAACCGTGTCTCCGAGTGACACACTGCATGACCCCTTCCCAAGCACCCCAAGCTCGCACTCTGTCGCGTCTGCCACCACTGCGTCCACGGGCGCCTCCTCACCGACCGTTGTTGGCCCTGCTGCGGACTCCCGTCTCCATCTCAGGGGCCGACAGGAACTGGTCGACCGCATTCGAGGACATATGAACAACCGTCTGTCTTTACATACTATGCCTCCAACTCCTCCGGCTTCGTCCCGGCCTACGTCCATGGCCGAGTCTTCATCTCGACCCACCTCCTTGGCTTCGGAGCCGGATGGATGGCGACCACTACCCATCCGCCCTCCGTCGAGGGGTGAGTCCGCAGCGAGCACTGCGAGTGTCCGTACAGCTCGGCCTTCGTTATTTGACCTTCTTGCGAACGCCCCGTCGACTCAGTCGGTTCCTCGCGCCGTTGGCACTCAGCCAGGCGCAGATTCTGACATTGTCGACCTTTCGTCGGACAACGAGACCATTTCGCGCCATAGAGACATCAGATCGCGCGTCGACTCGACGTGGAAGAACGACAGGCCTGTGCCAGACGCGCTCGTCCTTGACGACAGGTCCCCTTCCCCTCGGAGGCCATCCATTGACGATCTCTCTTTACCTCCGCGCCCGCATACCTTTGTCGCGCCGCCTCCCCCCATACTCTTCTCGCGGTCAAGCATGAGCAGCTTGCGTGCTGAACGCGGCATTGCGCAGACTGACGGTCACGTGCACAAGCCGGCGCCGACTCCCCGCTGCGCTGTTACACCGCCTATCACCTTACGCACTGAGGCCGCGCAATTCGCTGCGCAGTCCGCGCAGCCGCCGCAGTCAGAGTCGGGAGAGAGAGCTAAAGAGTCCAGGCGACGTGGACGGTTGACTCGGATGTTCATGGACGAGACGAGTCCCCTCCTCCCGAAATCGAAGGATGAACCATGTTGCTCAGTCTCCGAGGCCAAAGCTGAGGTCAAGGTCCTTATGGAGAAGTTCAAGAATGACTACGAGCGGGTCATGGTGAAGGCTTTCGGGGAAGGCTGGGACAGGGACAACAAGGCCTCGCCGAAGATGGAGGAGGCTCCGCTACCGCGCCTTCCTTCTCCACCGACGCATCTGCCTGTCATGCCGGACTTAGTCAATCCTCGCAAGGCCCCTCGTCTGAACTATTACCCCCCTCCGTTGCCGGTTTTGCCGAGGCGCAGCCTGTACTCACCTCCACCGCTACCGCCGCCCCCGCCTCCTTTCGTGCACTCCAGGCCCTCGTTATCCTCACCCTCGTTGCCAACGCTTCTTCCGTCGTCGTCGTCGTCGTCGTCGTGGCAAAGGGCCCTACCACCACCTCCTCCACCGTGTATCATACCATCTCTTCCCCCTCCGCCTCCGCCATTCATACGTGCAACGCCTACTGTGCACGTACAGGTTAGCCCGAAGGCAGAGCAATCGTCTATGTCTCCGTCATCTACCATCAGCACGCCGCCGTTGCCACCTCCGCCTCCCAACTGGATCCCTTCCGTCGCCTTCAATCCTACCCAGGATGCCTCTCAGCGCAATGACGTGCGCCCCGAAATTGGCCGTGAAGGTCGAGACAATGAGGAGACGGTGCACAAGAACGTTAGGTGCGACTTCTGTGGAAGAAGAGACATCAGAGGGATTAGATACAAGTGCCTGCAGTGCCCAGGTGCGCTTGAAGACCTGTTATATTGCTAACTCTATTGACCACGCGGACTTGTGCAGACTTCGATTGGTGCAGCACTTGTATGGCATCCCCTGAAGCTTGGGAAGCACATGCAGCCACGCACCCCTTCTTCCCAATCCACCGGAAGGAAGACTTCCTGCACTTCTGTTATGTCAAGGACCGCCGTGACCGTCGTCAGCTTGCGCACAACGGCATCACATGTGACGGCTGCCAGGAGAAGAATATCCGGGGTGTGCGTCATAAGTGTCTGCAGTGCCAGGGTATGCATACATCCGGATTACGTGTGCAGAGGCTGATCGTCCGTCTTTGTCAGATTACGACTTGTGTGATAAGTGTGTTTCTAGCCCCAAGACACGCCAGGGCCACGACGTGACCCACGTTTTCTTCCCGATCGAGACGCCCGGCGACAAGGACGCATACAACAAGGCCCGTAAGGAGGCAAGCCAGCCTGCAAACGCAGCCCTGTCCCCCGCCACTCACGTTCGTGTGCACTGTGACGGGTGCGAGCAGTATCCCATCGTCGGCGTAAGGCACAAGTGCTTGGATTGTGACGGTGAGTTTACAGGAGTTGAGGTCCAAGTGAATAGACTGAGGCTCACCTGAATCGTAGACTTTGACTTCTGTACGTCGTGCATCTCAGACCCAACCAAGCGCGAGGAGCACGATCCTTCACACTCGTTCTTCCCCATGGACAAGCCCTCCGACTACTCGAAGTTCGACAGGATCCGCGCCAACCATCGTCGCACCACGGTTGAGCCCCTGCGCAACGACAGTGGCTCCGCTCACGTTCAGACGGGCGGACGTCTCCTGCACAAGAACGTCTTCTGCGATGTTTGCACTGTTGAGATCGTTGGTGTGCGTCACAAGTGTCTCGATTGCCCCGACTACGACATGTGCGACGAGTGCATCTCGACTCCGCACCTCCGCGAACAGCACCATGCGCAACACCAGTTCTTCGCTATCGAGAAGCCTGGCGAGGTCGTCGTCCACACGGTCTTCAGCGGTGATGGTGAGCGTGAGCCTCCGCGTCCGGCCCCGGTAACACCTCGCGTCAATATCCCTCGGTCTGAGGACGTCGAGCCTGTCGTGCACAATGCGATGTGCGACATGTGCGACTCCAGGATCCGCGGCGATCGCTTCGTGAGTGCCCCTCCTTTCCAGTTACCATCGTGTCAGGATACTGACGGACCGATAGAAGTGCTTGAACTGCCCCGACTATGACGTTTGCCAATCGTGTTACAAGTCAGTCGTTCGGTTTACTTACAGCCCATTCGTTTAACTCATCTTTGAGTAGGATCACGCCCGAGCAGCATCCCGACCACGGCTTTGTCAAGATCAGCGAGCCGGCGACTCTCATGGTAAGCCCTCAGTCCGACTTCGGCTCGATTATGCACGTCAACAATCCATGCCAGATTCGTAACTCGGCCAACGATCCTATCCACTACGCGTCCTGTAACGTATGTGGCAGTCAGATCAGGGGCGTTCGGTACAAGGTGAATCGTTAATCGCTTCTGACTCAACGTATCACAACATGCTCACCGCGCTCACAGTGTGTGCACGAGTCCTGCGACGACTTCGACTTGTGTCAGAACTGCGAAGCTCACCCTATCTCGGTCCACCCCGTCCACCACCCCTTGCTCAAGTTGAAGACTCCTGGCGCCGTGATTCCTTTGGTGCTGCGGACTCAAAACGTGCCGCCAATGCCGATGAACCCCAGCTCGCCTATTCGCACGCCGAGCCCTTACGGAGTAGACTATGCGGAGACACCAGTACCGCGCGAGCCCAAGGTTATCGACATGGAGTCGTCGTTCACGAACGCGCCTGCCCATCCTCCTGCCCTCCCGCTCCCGGAATTTACCCCTGATTTGGAAGTCCCTGTACTCCCACAAGTCACTCCGCCCATCGTAGAGAATCCGTCCCCACGTCCATATCGTCGCAGTCTTAACCCCTTCAGCCGCTTTGAACATCCTAGCCCGGAGTCCATCATGTTCGCGTCCTTTCCGAGACACATGAGCCCTATGCGACCTACGCCGCCATCTCCGGAGCGCCTGGCATCCCCTCCTCCGCTGTCGCCCATTAGCGACGTTGACTTCGCACCGCCTAGATCTCCTTCTCCCCCTCGACTAGTACCGGTTCGTAGCTGGGAGGACATGTTCGGTCGTGCCGTGCCCGTAGTGGAGATCGCTTCCGTGATGCCCCAGTTCGCGCAGCTGGTCAACCTTGACGATTCTATCCGAGCAACCTCTCCTGAGCCCATGCCCTTCCTTGATGAGCGCGCCCAAGCCTCAGCTGATTCTGAGCCCTCTGCGACGGCTGAGCATAACGACGCTGAAGGCACGCTTGAAGGGATTTCGACGCCGTCGGATGTCACAACTTCTTCAGCATCGTCGAAGTCAGTTCCCAAGCTTGGTCTTGTCAACAGCGAATGGCGTGAACTATGGCCTGAGATGACTTCAATGTTCAAGCACCTCCTCCCGCCCTCTCCTGCCGAACCATCGTCGACCGCCGATCCGTCCCCGGGCAATGGATTCGCAATCTCCAATGCTATCACGAATGAACCTAGGAGTCTCGAGGAGCTAAATGGCCCGGTTGTCGAGGAGTCGCCTTTGGTTGGCGAGCCGCTCCTGTGCCGGCCGCTAATGCCAGAGAGGTCGGAGAATCGTTTCACCGCCCGACGCAGTTTGAGCGACCTCATCAATTCCATGTCTCCCACCGTCGTCGCCATTCCGCGCGTCCCGAGCCCGGAATCTCCCATCTCTTCGCCGCCATCCCCGGTCCAAGACCAAGTATCCCTCCCGCCTCCTACGGTCCCAACGTCGCCGGTTGTAGCGCCGATCGTGTCACCCTTCTGGGATGCCATCGCCCGCCTCAACCCGCCTCTGCTTGCTGCCTTCGTCTCGGACAGCAACATCCCTGTCGGACAAGTTTTCCCTCCTGGAGCCGAGTTCGTGAAGTCTTGGCGGATGCGCAACGACGGCGCCGTGGACTGGCCTGAGACCACGGAGCTCGTGTTCGTCGCTGGAGATCGTATGGCACCCTACACCGGCGCTCCTACGAAGTTCAAGATTGGCACCGTGAAGGCTGGCGAGGAAGTCGAATTGGTTTCTGGTGAGATGAAGGCCCCTGAAGTCCCCGGCAAGTACGTGAGCTCGTGGCGCTTGAGCGACGGCAACGGCAATCTGTTCGGACAGAGTGTTTGGGTCGAGTGAGTATGGTGCAATCATGTGTTGGCTTCATTCACTAATCTAGCATCTTTAGCATTACGGTCGCGGAGATGAACGAACCCTCGTCGGACGAGTCGCTCGCCGCTTCGTCGGTGATCATGCCTCGAACTGCCGGGCAAACTGTTTCAGCTCGGTCTAGCATTGAGCACCAGTTCTCCACGTCTTCTATGACGGTCCCCTCTGCTCCCCCCTCTGAGATCGACTCCTCCGTCTCTTTGCTCGACGTTTCGTCTTCCAGCTCTTCGGACGATGAAGACTATGCCGTCTACGAAGATAGTCGCTCGCAATTCGTCCCTTCCCCCGCCGCGGACGCGCAAGACGTCGAGTATGTGATGTTGTTCGACAGCTCATCTGAAGACGATTGAGCCCGAACTTGCACTGCCATATTTCTTGTTGACTATGAATGGGTATACAAAATTTCTTTCTTGATTACGGTTTGTACGATAGAGTCGAGATCTGTGAGGTCGATGCGTCCGAAGCGTAGCGGTTCATTGTGCGTGTATCATAGTTTGAGACTCGAAAGGAAATAAATACACATATGGCCGGCTAATGTACATATATGTCTTCCACTGGTTCTGACCTACGCCATCCCATTACTTGGCTTCTATCAGAGTGATCTTCTCAAGGCGTATGAGTGACTATCCCGAACGAGGAGTGAACGCGCCCTCTGTGCGGAGCTGGCTGACGGCGTGCTCGATATCCGCCTCGAGGTCATGTTGCCAAACAGGATCGAATTGGTGTCGCAGTTTCTCCCGGAGCACCTCAACATCCGACCTCTCCGCTCCTTGCAAATCGTTGATCGTGCCTGAAGTGTAACTCATGTTCCATACCATCTGCGCCCGGGGTCGACGAATGCTTGAGTACGTCTTCAGAACGGCCTGCATGCAGATGTTATCCGGCTGATTGGCTAGTGATGCCAATTGGGACGTACCTCCAGATTGGCGACATGTGTCTCGGGATGGCCCAGCAGACGGGAAAGAATATAGGCATCTTCAAGACCCTGGCCGGCCCCAGCTCCTAAATGGGGTAGCATGGCATGTGCCTGAATCCTCACCAAGGTCAGTGCAGACGTGGAGATAGGTCCAATAGGACGCGTACCGCGTCGCCGATCAACACCACCTGGTCTTTGACGAAGCTATCCAGCGGCGGATGGACGACGTGAATAGACCATTTACTGGGTTTCTCTGGCATGCACTTCAGTAAAGCGGCGATGTCCGGACCCCAGCCTTCGTATTCTTTCTCCATCTCCTCCTTCGGGACTACCTCCACCCATGGTGTTCCTGGCGCAAGCTTTGCAGACCCTATGGGGACATCGTATCGAGCAACGAAGGCGACCACATTGATCTGCAAGTCTTCTGTGAGCTGGAGAATCCAGGAGAGAGCGATCGTGGAACACTGACTAATTCGCCGTTCCTGAGAGGGAAGAGAATGAAGTGCTACACGTGACATGTTCAGCAGTGCCGTTAAATGAGCATACAACTGCGGGAGATACCTTGCTCGGCCCAAGGAAACAAACTGGGTCGTTCACCACAGAAGCCTTGAACCCGGCCGCCTGGAGCTCCTTGTACTGTACGAGCCCTCGGTATGCTATCTGGTTGCTGAATGTAATTCTATCGTCATTTCCATCCAAGACAAAGCTGCGAACAGCACTCTTGATCCCGTCCGCCCCTATCACGACGTCGGTTTCATGAGAAGTGCCATCTTGGAAGTTGATGACCAGACGTCTCGAGCCTTGTGCGGAACGAACGATGGAGGTGCATCGTTTGTTGAAGTGGGCACTTTGGGGGTCCAGGACATCCACGATCGCTTCTAAAAAATCAGCTCTATCGCATATGAGAGTTAGAAGCGGGATTCAGAAGTATGGACCGCTGTACCTATGCATTCCTATCCCTTTGTCTTCAGGGTGCACATCGTACTAGAGTCGACGTAAGAAGCAGGTTCTTCGAGACAGATGCACGTACACCTACCGCGAAGACCTCCTGATTGTCTCCGAGACCGTTATAGTAGATGCAGCCTCTGGTCCTGAGCTCCGATGGGTGGATCTTCTTAAGAAGTTCATCGAGCAAGCCGATGGCTCTCAGACCCGGGATAGCGTTTGCACCTGCGTGGAACATGACGAATGTCAGTCATAAAAAGCACATGGCGAGAGCAAGGGAGCAAGAGAGAAAACCTATTCCGATCCCTGCCCCAATCTGTTCGAAAGCGGCCTAGAGGTGGGCTTCAGTGGCCAGTATGCAAGGCACTCTGTAGCATATGACTGACCGCTGCCTCGAATAGCTGTACGGGCACCCCTGCCCGCTGCAAAGCAATGGCGCAGACCAGGCCAGACACACCCCCGCCGACTATGGCCACCTGGAAGTCTTTCCTTGCTGGTGTGCCCATTGCGTGAGCGTAGTGAGGAAGTTGGGCGACCGCACATCTTATGTGGCTTTCGCTATATGAAGAGGTGTATACTTAGCTCAAATATCACCCGAAGACCGGCACACGAGAAGCGCTATTATCGGATAAACAAAGGACTGGGTGGTTGTAAGCCTGTGAACAGCCTACAGAGTCAGTACATGCCGATGGGAGTGGGAGATATTACGGGAGAGGCGCAGGACCAAGAAGGCTCAATTGATCAGGCAACAGGATATATTTGAGCATCCACGGGACATAACGTGCCTAGGACGTGCGAGGTGCCGGGAGCGACAACCATTGCACAAGACGGTCGGTTAAGAGGACGCAGTACAGTTGCGCATGAAGATGCCTGTGTGGCCGGACCAGTCCCGGGCAGACCGCACATTTTTGTGATGCAGTGTAGACCTGTGTGGAAGCAGTCGTCTGGCGTGTAGCTCCGAAAGGTGGAGATCTGAAAGCTGCACATACCAAATGATTACACCACTGTTTAGGCACCAGCGATTCAGCTTTCTCCCCATGTACCTGGACTGTACAGGCAGCCCACCTTGCATTTGACTGTCCGCTGTGCGGCCTGTGAAAGCCTTTGAACCTATGTGCGGCTTGCCAGTCAAGAGAGTCGATTTTCGGAGAGCCGCTAGTAGCCACGAATGTTGCGACGCAGCTGGTGGGATTTCTAGGCCAAAATTATCTCAATGTGAGACGTTAGCAATTGCGGGTCGTCGTAATGTGATGGTAGTGCAGACACATGCGAATGCAAAACCAAAAAAATTCCCCGACAGCTAGCTAGCTTCATGGCGTCCGGTATCTAACGCTCGGGGTCCTGCGAGAGCTCCGCCCAAGAAGTCGGGTGAATGAACCGCAATCATCTCTTCTGATCTCAAAACCTGGTCGGAATAGCCCCCCTGAGCCAACATTAGTGTACATACAATGCGTGGTGTGATATGATATCGGATAATTTAGACACGAAGTTCACATCAGTCACCGATAGACGCTTGCGTAACTGGCACCCCTAGGACAATGCTACAAGTGATCGGTACGCACGCTGGAGGTAACGGTTCTATAGCCGCAGGAAGTGGCCGCATATGCCCTCAAGGTCGTGGTAGACATTGGGATGGACACTGACAGTGTCGACCTCACGGGCCGTCTCCCCCCTCTTCAGAGGGCGAGATGGCAGTGTGGCGGGCTTCTGATGTTGGCGGTGATCCCGGGCAAAAGACGGGGTTAGCGAATGGATCCGAGGGAGACAGTCCGCATCACTTGCCTCTCAACGCGACTAGTGGCCTCAAGGATTGACTAGTACCCTTGGTTCTCGCCTTTCACAAGGGCCCAGCATCATGAGCTTGGGCGTACACAGACAATGATGGGTGCAGTGGTACGCCATGCCGATCGGGTTGGGGATCACGTCTGATTGAGCCGGTCGCGTTCTACCGCACCATGCTAAAAAATCCCAATCTTGCCAGGGACGTGCAGTTCAGGTCGAAAGGGCCAGGCCGCGCCGAAGTACGCTCCGTGGACGATGAATGCGCTCGGAAATAGCACGTGACGACGTTGAATATCGAGAGCGATCACTGTACCAAGGGTTTCCTGAGCTTCATGGCTGCTCGAATGAATGATGTGAACGAACTCTTGCGAGTCTGGTCCCCATCAGCCCTGCGCGTAGAGCCCTGCATCTGGGTAGGCTATACTCACCTCGGGGTTAAAGCGTATGGATCGATGGAATCAAACATGCTATGGTGGTTGGGCACATGAGGATTCCATTTCGGGGCTTGTGCTGGACACGAAGGTTGGCGTCTTCAGGAAACCAACGGCGAGCTGTAAGCTCTGTCTACATAAGGAACACCCTGCCCTTGTCAGCTTAGATAATCTCATGGACTGAAGACAAACCAGTTGACTATGAGATAATGTAGCAATGCTCGAGATGGCGACCGTACCCACCAACGACGCGGCGATTCTTCACGTCCAATAATTTCGGGATCGAACGTAGCGAATGGCGTGGAGAATTTGCGTTTTAGCTAGCTAACCTCAAGGGGAGCGTCGGATGGTTGTAGAGGCAGCGGAAACGCAGATAAAAAGCGGCATGGTTGTAGAAGGTGCAGGTGCTTACGGCACGGGCTAGCGCTGTCATTGTATGCTCGGTTAGCTATTTTGGCTTATGTAAGCCCTCGACCTCGTCCGCTGCGTGGTCGCTGAGAGCTACTGGTATGTAGTTATATATGTCATATGTGTCTCCTACAGCCATCTGCGCTCTCAACTCGTTGGGATTCCCGTAATTCAACTCGCGCCCTTCCAATCCCTCGTCCAGCCCGCTTTCTAGCTTACCCTTACTGAGCTCAAGTTCGACGTCCTCCGACTTGCAGAACATGCCGGCGCCCTTCCAGTAACAGCGATATATACAACAGGCCGCGCAAGACGTGTGAAAAAGGAGAGCTATACAGAATGAGCCACATATGCGCCCTTTGTGCGAAGCTCACTGATAGCATGCTCGACATCCGCCTCAATGTCATGCTGCCAGACATAATCGTAGTGACTTCGCAATTCCTCACGCATGAACTCCGCGTCTGAGCCTCCCGCTCCTTGCCAATCGTAGACGGCGCCTGCAGCGCGACTCATACTCCATACCATTTGCGCGCGAGGTCGGCGAATGCGGGAATAAGTTTCTAGGACCGCCTATGCAAAAGTATCACGAGGGGAGTTGGTTGATGATGCCAATTGGGACGTACCTCCAGGTTGTCGCCTTGTGTCTCCGGGTGTCCCAGCAGACGGGAAATAATATAGGCATCTTCAAGACCCTGTCCAGCCCCAGCCCCCAGATGGGGCAGCATAGCGTGTGCCTTAGAATCCAGGCACGTCAGCGTGGACTTGGAGATATGACTACCAGGACGCGTACCGCGTCGCCGATCAAGGCTACATGGCCTTTGACGAAGCTATCCAGCGGAGGATGAACGACGTGTATAGACCATTTGCTAGGGGTTTCTGGCATGCACTTCATCAGGGCGGCGATGTCGGGGCCCCAGCCTTCATATTCCTTTTCCATCGCTTCCTTCGGGACTGTCTCAACCCAAGGTGTTCCTGGCGGAAGCTTTTCAGACCCTATGGGGATGTCGTATCGAGCAACGAAGGCGACGACGTTGATCTACATGCGTCTTGTGAGCCGAATATGTTAAAATAGAGGAGTTTTGAAGACGCTGACCACTTCGCCATTCTTGATAGGGAAGAGAATGAAGTGCTAGGCACGACATAATCAGACGTGCCATGTAATTCCTACTCCAACTGCTAGATACCTTGCTCGGTCCAACAAAACAAGCTGGGTCTTGTACAACAGGGGTCTTGAACCCAGCCTCCTGGAGGTCTTTGTACGGTACAAGGCCTCGGTATGCTACCGTGTTGCTGAAAGCGACCCTGTCGTCCGGGGCATCCAAGACGAAACTGCGGACAGCACTCTTGATCCCGTCCGCCCCTATCACGACATCGGTTTCATGAGAGGTGCCATCTTGGAAGTTGATGACCAGACGTCTTGAGCCTTGTGCGCAACGAACGATAGAGGTGCATCGCTTGTTGAAGTGGGCCCTTTGCGGCTCCAAGACAGGTACAAGTGCCTCTAGGAAAATAGCCCTAGTTCATATGAGAGTTGGACATGGTCATCAGAAGTATGGATCGCAGTACCTATGCATTCCTATCCCTTTGTCTTCAGGGTGCGCATCGTACTAGAGTCGACGTAAGAGGCCGGAGCTCAAAATCAGATGTACGTACTCCTACCGCGAAGACCTCCTGATTGTCTCCAAGACCGTTATAGTAAATGAAACCTCTAGTCCTGAGCTCCGATGGGTGGATCTTCTTTAGAACTTCGTCAAGCAAGCCGACTGCTTTCAAAACCCGGACAGCGTTTGAACCTGCGTGAGAATATGGAATGACTATCATAACTAGCACATGGCGAAAGCAAGAGAGCGAACCAAGTCCGATCCCCGCCCCAATCTCTCCGAAGGCAGCCTAGACATCGCGCTTCAGCAGCGGGTATGTATGGCACCATGAAACGATTGACTGACCGCTGCCTCGAATAGTTGTACTGGGACCCCTGCCCGTTGCAGAGCGATCGCGCAGACCAGGCCAGACACTCCTCCGCCGACTATGGCCACCTCGAAGTCTTTATTTGGCGGCGTGTCCATTGGGCGAGCTCAGTGGGGAAGTTGCGTGACGCCCACGTCATATGGAAGTCCTCGCTATATAATCGTCGTATAGCTCAGCGGTCACCGGATAGCGCCAACATACCGGTACGAGAAGCACCGTTATCGGATGAAGACAGAGCGGAGTGGTTGTGAATCCGTGAACGCCCCAAGCTGGCAGCGCATGCCGATGGGAGTGGGCCCGAAATAGGCCCAGGCACAGGAAGGCCCAATTGGTTGCGCAACCGGACGTATTTGTATGTTCAAGGGAAATAGCATGCCTAGAATGTGCAAGATGCCGGGAGCCGCAAGCCCACGATGCTGGTGGGTCAGGAGGATGCAGTAAGGTTTGGCATAGATAGGCTTGTGGGTTTGGACCGGTGTGAGAACACCATACCTGTTTTCGTAATGTGACATGGAGCCGGGTGAAACTTGTCATCTGGGTTGATTCCTGGAGGTGAAAATGACATTGCTGCGCTTGCGCATGATCAGCACCGAAGGGACCAGCTGACAACTGCACAATATCAAAGGTGCTGTCGACCGTGAGCGAGACCTGCAATCCTAGTCGAGAGACTCGATGTTCGGAGAGCCGCAAACGCTAGCCATTGGCAATCTCCCGCAGTTGACGGTGGGACCGTTAGGCTAGCATCGGCATCGTGAGTGATGGGGTACTTGCGGGTGAACAAGCGCCCCAGCGACGAAGACAGACGTGATATGCTACACAATGGGCGTCTACTCGACGCTCACTTGCGCCTGGCAAGAAGTCGGATGCATGAACTGCATTTGACACTGTATCCACAGTGATCAGCGTGATATGGTACAGAATAATTCACGAGAGATTGTCATTGAAATACTACTACCGGCCACCGGCCGAATCTCTATGACTGATACGCGACGTGCCCAAAAGAATCAAATCGTTAAAGTACCCCTTGACCAGAGCTATGAAATCTCAGTATGAACGTTGATTAATGTTGAAAACTGGCCTCCGCGTAGGTAATGTGTCATACGCTGGAGGAAGAGGTTCTGTTGCTGCGCGCCCTGGCAGATAGTCGCTGTACATGCCCTCAAGGTCCCGGTAGACACTGGGATGAACGCTCCCGGCATCGACCTCGCGGGCCGTCTCCCCCTCCTCTTCAGAGGGTGCAGTGGCGGTATTGTGGGCATCTGATGTTGGCGGTGATCCCGGGTAGATAACGGGGTCAGGGACTGGATTTGAGGGAGTCGGCGATGCCGCAGGGGAGTGAACATGAGATGTGACCATACTATGAGGTGTCACTACGGAAGAATGTCTTTGGAAGGTTGCAGTGCCAGCAGGCGAAAGTGCAGAATGCTGGCTGGGTGACATTGGAGCAAAGCGGAGAGGTAAAAGGGCAGAAGAGGCAGTGGGAGACACTGCTGCGAGGCCTTGAGTGTCTTCGAGGTCTGGGACATATCAGTACGTGCACAAAGCTGACTAATGTTCTAAACCTTACTGGGAGGGAAAGGCTCTTTTGAGTCCGACGAGTTCAGCACAAACTGTGAGGAACGGAAGGTTGGTGTGTGTCCTTGATGCCTCTCCTGACGTCGTAACCACCTGTAGAGTATGAAAGCCCCGATCACGACGAACAGGAGGATCAGGCTCCCTCCAATGGCGACGCCTACAATCACACCCCGGGACAGAGCCGACGACGTGCTCGAGTCTCCCGAGACCCCAGCCGGTCCTCCTGTCGTGCTGAGGACAGATGTCTCCGTCAACGTGGTGGTAATGGATTGTGAGACAGTGATGAGAGAATCTCCGAGGCCGGTAGATGTAGATAATGATGTTGACACCGACGAGGGTGCCGAGACAAATGAGGGCGAGGATGTGAATGACGAAGAGCCGACTGGTGGTGGAGATAGGGATGAGCTTCGCACTGATGCAGTGACTACAATTGTCTCACTAATAGATTGACTCGACGCTCCTGCCGAATCTGACGAAGAGAGCGTGCGAGGCGGCTGCGAGTTACCACTCGCAGGGGATGGTGTATTGCTTTGTGTGCTCTGTGCGGGTAAGGTCGTAGAAATTGAAGGAACGACAGGAGTGTTAATGACAGTGATGGTGGTAGTGAATGGGCTCGTGGACGCCGGATTGGTGGTGGCTCGCCGGGTAGAGGCGGACATTGTACAGAATTCAGTGAACGGTCCAAAGCAGGACACGTCTTGGCTGAAGCCCGGATTAAACGCCATACCAAGGGTAGCAGAAAGTCTTCGTTCTTGTGCATGGACACAATACAGCTATATGAGCTTGGACCAACACATGAGCAGAGCTTCCATCATCGGCATCGAAGTATGAGTTCCTCTGTTCTTCGAATCCATGGGAACCTCGTGTCCACATGTGATGGGAGGTCAGTGCTTCATAGCAATGACTGCCGTAAACCCTTGTTTGCGGGTCTCACAGAGAGATATCTTGCTCCGCCGTGCTCCTTGGGGTGCCAAGATTGGTCTCTTTGACATACAAGACTTCAACGTCTTCCAAATACAGGTCGAGTATACCAGTATGTGGACTTGGGATTGGAACTCGCACGTGAGAGAATTCCTTCCTGATTGACGCATTAGAGTCGCCTGATAGGAGCCGAAAGTGCGTCGTGTTCTCGGATGCTATGTAGTGACTCATTGATGAGTATGGATGCGATAACGGAAGAGATGTACGCACCCAGCACATAGTATTCTGGATGTCCCGTTGTCTAGAAGATCAAGAGCTCTTGCTGTAGAGCATGGGCAACAACACACTTCCAAGAAGTTGATGCTTTCGAATATGCTGGGTCTGACAACTACATTGCAGTTAACGTACAGCCAAGCCGAGTGTGAAGGGAACCCTCGCTGGCTCGATACATATCATCCCAAAGAATCCCCGAAGCAGGCAACATCTCTCTAGTTTGTGAATGAGTGTGATTTGGTCGCAGCGACGTCGAGAAGATTGACTACAAGCACAGCTCCGAGGCTGCTATCGGGTATCTGTGAATGTGGTAAGTTCACATACCATGGAGACGAACACATCACACACCCAGCTGTTAATGGCGGTCAGCACAGTCAATCACAACGGCCCAGGTCAGGGTGCGCGAGAGGGCAGATCCTCATACGCGGGAGGGAGGGGTTGACCTGCTGCGATTCGGTGGTCGAAGGTATCCATGTAAACGCTAGGATGCACGCTCCCCGCATCTGCCTCCCTGGACTGGACCAGGTCTGCTTCCACACACCGATTCAGGCTCCAACAGAACGACGATGTAATGTGGCTAGACTCACCAGTATGCGACGCACGAGAGGATGTACGAGAGGATGCGCGAGAGGACGCGCGAGATAACGACGATTCTGTGGGTCGCTTCAGTTTTCATCCGTATTTCCTGATGGAATCGGGAGAGCACTCACCGCCCGCAAGGCCGGGCCCACCCCGGGTTCTTCTCCGAATGCCCCTACGCCTGTTCTTGAGCCAGACAAACCAAGCAAGGACCCCGACCAAAGCTCCCGCAAGTACGCCAACAGGTATTGCCACTTGCGTACCAGAAAGTTCCCTAGATGCCTCGAGAGGTGCTGTGCTGGGACTCTCTGATAGCCCAGGCTCCGTGGAAGTTGTGGTGACAGACTTCAAGAGTGTTGATACCTCGACTACTGACGACGTCGAGACAGTCGTGAAAACAGATGTGCTAGTAGCGACGGTTCTCAACGGGGGCGTGGTTTGACTCCATGTAGTAGGTGGATGAGCGGGATCCCGAGCGACTGGACTCGTGTCTATGGTAGGCAAGGTTGAGTGGGTACTCGGCTCTGGAACAGGAAGGTTACTCAGGCGAGATGATGTCGGTAGACTGTGTGTAAGAGCAGAAGTGGGAAGTGTCGTGTTTTTCAAGGATGCATTTGAGAATGGTGTAGGCGCAACAGAGGTAGTAGAATCTGGTTTCGACGTCGATACATGCGTAGGGATGCTAGTCATATGGGAACGGGAATGGTGCCCCATGGTGGCGTTTGCTCTGCGTATGTATGGGGTCGGCGTAGCAGACAACAGTCGACGCTCCCCTCTTGCGCCAAAATATGTACATTGAGGGCCTGACAGCTGAACATTCCTGGCCTGACAAAGATGCGTAACCGTCGAACCCGTGTTGGAGAAGCCGTCTAGGTTGATTAACGATGGTACTCACGTTCTTCTCCGTATAGGCCGTCTTTCCACTCCAACTATGGGGGTACGCATGCCCTGTGTTTGTGCCGTCGTGCCTGTATGACCGTCAGCTTCAGGTTGGAGCAACAGCCGGAGGACGGCCATCCTTCATGACAATAACTAAGGATGTATGTGGGCCAGGCACCGGTGGCAGAGATGAGATTCCAATCCTGTATATCAGAGAAGCGCATGCGCTGGTACCTCTCCCGAGTGGGAAGATTAGCACCTGTGCTTCACTCAGAAAATCTGCGTACAGGAGCGTGTGGGATATAGCAGAAATTTTCTCCGACGGATGTATTAAGACATTCTGGATTGAAAGGACAGGCCAGAGCGATGCCCACGGTCAATGCTGGCTTTCCAGGTTACTCAGAGGCGCAACTTGAGTCGCACCTTATCTTGAACTAAGGTGCGGTGACCGGTCCTTTGGGCTGTGCTTCAATGAGGTGGACAGGCACATCTGACGAGTAAACACAGGAAGGGCGATAAGAAAGATGAGCGACGCTGCAACGCATGTGGGGGAACATCGAAGCGCAAGACGACGAAGTGACTGAATATCAGACGCTCATGGGACGCGCGGCCCGAACATGCTTGATTCAAGATTAGAATCATACCGATCCTCCAATGGACGCATTCAACACGATCGAGTGCCAAGTTCCCTACATCTCACACTGACACGGCGTCGGTGAGAACACATGCATTGCCTAACGCTGTCCGAACTATGGCAAACATACCACAGAAGACCGTTGCGTCACATAGGAGACGCGCGCAACGTTGAAGCAGTGTTCGTTTCGTTCAGTTGAGACAGCGGGTATCAGTAGATAGATTCAAGACTATGTAT